TGGTCTATTTACAGTGGAATATTCGCAGCCTCAGGTAATCGGGGTGAGCTTCAGATGTTGCTCTCCCAGTTTTCCCCTGTTGGTGTTTGCTTACAGGAACCAAAATTACACTCTACCGTTATCTATCCTATCTCAGGCTATAATTTATTGTATTCTTCAGATCCTTTTCCTGATGGGACCTTTAATGAAAGTGCCCTTCTTCTACGCACTGATATTCCGTACCATCAGCTATTTGTTCGTACTTCGCTGCACTACACAGCAGCCCGTATCCACTTGCATAGGTGGTATACACTCTGTTCTTTGTATCTCTCTCCTTCTCGGGCATTATCTATCCCAGATATTGCCTTTCTTGTTTCGTCATTACTGCCACCACTTCTGTTACTTGGCGATTTTAATGCCCATCATTTCCTCTGGGGGGTCTCACTGTGATTCCCATGGCATTCAGTTAGAGGCTTTTCTTGCTACCCACCCCCTCCATGTTTTAAATACAGGTACTCACACCCATTTTGATCTTCGGACTCATACTCTCTCTTGCATCGATCTCTCAGTCTGCTCTTCCTCTTCCACATTAGACTTCACCTGGTCTGTTCTCCCGGATTTACATGACAGTGATCATTTCCCAATCATTCTTACTTCCCCTTCATATTCACCACCTCTTCGTAACCCACGCTGGCAATTCGATCAGGCAAATTGGAACCTTTACTCACAACTAACTGTTTTTAGTGAGGTTCCTTCTTCGTCCTCCAGTGATGAGCTTTTACACCTCTTCTCGTCCTCCGTTTTAACCGCAGCTTCTCATTCTATACCCCAAACTTTGGGCAGGCATTCTCAGAAATGCGTGTCTTGGTGGTTTCCTGCTTGTGCTCGTGCAGTACGTTTGAAACGCGCTGCGTGGGGCAGGTACCGGTACAATAGAACCACGGAGAGACTTCTTGATTTTAAGCAGAAGCGTGCGATCGCTCGCCGTGTCATCCGTGATGCTAAATGCACTTGCTGGCGAGATTATGTCTCCACCATCACCTCTGCTTCCTCTATGAGTACAGTCTGGAAAAAAGTACGAAAACTGAGCGGTAAATATTCTCCTGACCCGGCTCCTGTTCTGTGGGTTGCCGGTGTTGATATAGCAAACCCACTAGATGTTGCCAATGAAATTGGCAATCATCTGGTCCGTATTTCTCAGGGGCTCCATCTATGCCCCTCGTTTCTTTCCTCAAAGTCTGCCAGAGAGTTAGCACCCTTGGACTTTTCTTCTCTCAGAGAAGAACAGTATAATGTGCCTTTTACACTTCAGGAACTGGAGGCAACACTCTCAGCTTGCTGATCATCGGCAGCTGGGCCCGACGACATTCATATTCGTATGCTACAACATTTACATCAGTCAGCCCTCGCAGTCCTATTACGCCTTTTCAATCTTATTTGGTCACAGGGAGTTCTTCCACAGCTGTGGAAATCTGCCATTGTTCTCCCTTTCCATAAACCGGGTACTACGGGACATGAAGCCTCCCACTATCGTCCCATTGCTCTTACCAGTGCAGTTTGCAAAGTGATGGAATGCCTAGTAAATAAACATTTAGTGTGGTATTTAGAAACACACAACAGTCTCTCCACTCGTCAATATGGCTTTCGTAAGGACCGTTCTACCATAGACCCCTTACTACGCTTGGATGCGTTTAGTTCGTAATGCCTTTGCGAATAACCACTCAGTTATTGTCATATTTTTTGACCTTGAGAAGGCATATGACACAAATTGGAGGTATAATATTTTGGCCCAAGCCCACTCCTTAGACCTTCGAGGCAATCTACCATCCTTCCTTAAGAACTTTTTAACTGACAGACATTTCCGTGTTCGGGTTAATAATGTGCTCTCCCCAGACTTTATCCAAGCTGAAGGTGTCCCCCAGGGATGTGTTCTGAGCACAACACTTTTTCTCCTTGCTATAAATGATTTGGCCTCTAGTCTTCCATCCAATATTTGGTCATCACTCTATGTTGATAACTTTGCTATTGCATGTGCAGGCGCTGACTGTCACCTCATTACAGTTTCTCTCCAACATGCGGTCGACCGTGTTTCCAATTGGGCCACCACACATGGGTTTAAATTTTCCAGTACCAAAACTCACCAAATTACTTCCACTAGACACTCTGTCATCTCCGATCATCCTTTGTACCTCTATGGCTCCCGTATCCCTGAACGTGATACAGTCAGGTTTCTAGACCTCCTCTTTGACCGTAGGTTATCCTGGAAACCTCACATTACCTCTCTGAAGGCAACTTGTCACAGCCGGCTGAACCTTCTTAAAACCCTTGCTCATCTTTCATGGGGAGCTGATCGTCGAACTCTCCTTCGCCTACATTCCGCTCTCATTTTATCGAAACTCGATTATGGTGACCAGATCTATTCAGCAGCCTCTCCTGCTACTCTCTCTAGCCTTAACCCCCATTCATCACCAAGGATTACGTTTATGCCTTGGTGCTTTTCGCTCTTCCCCTGTTGAAAGCCTCTATGCAGAAGTGAACGTTCCATCCTTATTCGATCGCTGTGATGCCCATTGCCTTCGCTACTATGTACGCTCTCATGATCTCCGCAATCCTTCCATTTATAGAATGGTCACTGATATAGTAGACATTCTTTATTTGTTCGTCGCCCCTGTTTGCTCCGTCCCTTCTCCCTTCGCCTACATTCGCTCCTGTCTTCTCTTCAATTATCAACTTTCTATGTTCATGTAGCATCTCACTTTTCCCTACCTCCCTGGGAAGTTCCAGCTGTTTGAGTCTGTTCTTTCTCACTCCCTTGCTCAAAAGCCCAACTGTCTACGGTAGCTTCGCACTCTCTTTTTCTTGACCACTTCCACTCTCATTCTCATGCCATTGCAGTGTACACAGATGGCTCTAAGTCTTCTGATGGCGTAGGATTCACAGCAGTGTTTCCGGACAGCATCGTACAAGGGCATTTACTATCTTCGGCTAGTATCTTTACTGCTGAATTGTATGCCATTCTTGCAGCACTCATCCGTATTGCATCTATGCCTATGTCATCATTTGTGGTTTTCTCAGACTCCCTTAGTGCTTTACAGGCTATACAGAAATTTGATACACCTCACCTCTTAGTCCTCCGTATCTAACTTTGGCTATGCCACATCTCTTCCAAGCATAAAGATATTTATTTTGTTGGGTCCCTGGTCATGTTGACGTACAGGGCAATGAACAGGCAGACACTGCTGCACGGTCAGCAGTACATGACCTACCAGTTTCATATAGAGGTGTTCCATTTATGGACTATTTTGCTGCAATAGCTACCCACCTTCACACCCGTTGGCAACAACGATTGGTCTACTCTGCTCGGTAACAAACTTCAATCTATTAAACCGAGTATAGGTTACTGGCCGTCTTCTTGTCGCCAATGTCGAGGATGGGAGACTACTCTCTCCCGTCTTCGCATTGACCATACTCGTCTTACTCATGGTTATCTCATGGAGAGGCGCCCTGCTCGTCTCTGAGAATTATCAGGTTCCATTATCGGTTAGCCACATTCTATTAGACTGCCCCCTTTATCAACGAGCATGCAGAATATACCTCCAACGTCATCTTCGCTCTGCTGCTCTCTCTTTACCTTCCCTTCTCACTGATGGACCCGCCTTTCATCCGGACTCTCTCATTGACTTTTTGACAACAACTGACTTACCTCACAAACTCTGATGATACCTTCAGCCGCCCTTTCTACCTCAATCTCTTGCTGCCCTCTACCCCTGCACTATCCCCTGCCCCGCTGTTTTCTGTAACCTACTGATCATCCCTTCCCCCTTCTCCCGCCCAATCCCCTCGCTTCCCTCCCTACCCTGCAGCGCTGTATAGCCCTTGTGGCTTAGCGCTTCTTTTTTATTATAATAATAATAATACATAGAGTGAAACATTACAATAAAAACTTGCTCTGCAACTGTGTATCTCTTTTCACTACTGTCAGTAATATGTCTTGTAGCCAAAATGTAATGTAATGTACATAACTATCCCTTAATATTTCAACTGAATATTACAGAAAAGAATCTGGATAAAGTAAGAACATGACTCAGTTTCCCACCCATATGAATTGCATTTTGCTCTTAAACTGTGAAAGAAAGCAAACCCATTTCAGTTGGATTCACTGGTATATTTATGAGTTGCTAAAAGTTATTTCCAGCAAAATACAGTGCTAAATAATTATTGGTCAAGTTAGAGGCAGTATAATGTAAATGGACATAAGTAACTAATGAGATATTATAGTTACTGGTATATTTTGATCACCAGGAGTTTTATTAAAATTTGATCAAGGCTTGATGAATCTCTTAGTGAGGAAAACATAGCGCATAATAATAAATGTCCCATTAGGTGCTTGAATTATCAGTAAATAATATGCACACATGTCCACAGTATTTGCTTTCATTAGCCATAAATAATATACAGTACAGGTTTCATTTGCTTTATGTGGGTTCATTTTATGCAAATTCATCATTATGTTCTGTCCCATTTCTGTTAGTAATTATGCATATGCAAAATGCACTTGCCTTACGTGATCAGTGCAAAATGTATTGAAGATTCTTATGTAGAATAATTATTGATGGCAAAAATGAGCTAAATACAACTACCAAGGGCCAGCAATAAATCTACAGCCTGAAATTAGGGGCACCCTTATTGATAATGCATGGATAAGGGAGGTGCTGTGTGGCTTTTGAGCCACCTGGTCTACCCTGGCACAGAGTTATAGTTTTGATGCTATCATTGGTTTTTAATTAAACAATATCCCATAGGTTTTTTATCTAAAATCATCTTAATCTGAAAGTTGATATCTACAGTATCTCTAAAAAAAATTAGCATTATATCTAGTATTGCTTACCTGTATTCAGAGATTGAGCCTATTTTACGTGGTCCAGAAATAAAATGTTGGTTTGTACTATATCAGTATGCATCAGTTGCAACAAAAAACTATTATAGCCACTTAATTTTTTACTTACTATTTCCATTTTCAGGAGGAGAAAAAAGTGATGATTGGACAGTGTGTGCCAGATGTGAAATGTATCGGCCACCTCGAGCACACCACTGCCGTATTTGTCAACGTTGTATACGCCGAATGGACCACCATTGTCCATGGTATAATTTTGGTTTATACTGAAATCACAGTTAAGGCATTGTACATACAGCATGTTTTGGTGCTGAAAATATCTTTGGATCTGTGAGATCATTACAACTGGCTAGATTCATGAATGGTTTAATGTACTTATTTTTTCAGGATTAACAACTGTGTTGGAGAATGGAACCAGAAGTATTTCTTACAGTTCTTGATGTTTGTTGGTCTGATGTCAATATATGCAATGAGCCTTGTTGCTTATTCTTGGATCAAGGCTTGCCCAGAGTGCTCAAAAGATATGATGGTCAAGCAGGGCAGACTGTAAGTACAAATGAGATGCCTTAAAATACTTCAGAAAAAATATTTTAAGATTAATTTTTTTTTGCGAGAATGGAAAAATTATGATAGAGAAGTAAACCCTCAATTTAACAGACTAATGGGAGATGAGCGGCTGACCAGTAATGGTAATTGTTGTGGATAGAGATGAGATTGTTTTGCCATGATACTAACAATAACAGGCAGTTCTAAAACTAGTGGACTTTGCTTGTTGTTTCCAAATCATTTGACCCATCTGATTTTGTCCCCTATTTCCAAAGTCCTTTAACTCCTAAACTATGACAAAAAAAAAAAAATACCTGTGTGTATTATTCATTGGAACATGGAAATAAGCCACATTATTTGATTGGGTTAAATCCACTTATTGTGCTTTATGGCTGAATTCCACTGTTAGTATCATGAAACTGTAATAAATTTACCAGCAGTTCCACACCATTTCCTGGTTGGGAAGCTTGTGGTGGAACAACAGCTCCTGATTTCATTGTTTACTTATTCCAGTTAAGCATATTAGTACATTGGACAGTCATCACCTGTGTAGTTAAGCATGATACACTGTGTGGACCCTCCTGGCCTTAGATTTTTTCAAAGGTATGAAAAGATGTAGAGGACCCAAAGAGTTGTGCTGAAGTCAAAAATATTGGCAGATGGCAGATTTGAAGGTATGGAAATTGTGCATACGTACTAGTATGTTGGGTGCATAGTTGTGAGTTGTGTACTGATATGGTGAACACAGTTTAAGAGTTAAATCAAGGTCTGTTAAGTCGAAACTTTACTGCATATTCTTGTTTCTGTGAGTGAATATTTTGTTATTGAAATAGTAGTTCAGTGTTGTAGAAATAACATCAGTGGTATTTGACTTCAGTTTTTTTATTTTAAATTAATGAAATATATTTGCAGTCTTCTCCATGGGGAAGTGGAACAGAATTTTTCCTCCGTAAGCCATGCGTGTTGTAAGAGGCAACTAAAATGCCAGGGGCAAGGGGCTAGTAACCCCTTCTCCTGTATATATTACTAAATGTAAAAGGAGAAACTTTCGTTTTTCCTTTTGGGCCACCCTGCCTCGGTGGGATACAGCCGGTGTGTTGAAAGAAAGATTTGCAGTCTTTGAGCAAATCACCTACAACTCTGCACAGTTATAAAATCATATAGATAAAGTAAGAAATGTTTACTCATGTTACAACAGAAATTTTTTTTTTTCAACAAACTGGCTGTATCCCACCAAGGCAGGGTGGCCCAAAATGAAAAACGAAAGTTTCTCTTTTTAAATTTAGTAATTTATACGGGAGAAGGGGTTACTAGCCCCTTGCTCCCAGCATTTTAGTCACCTCTTACAACAGGCATGGCTTACGGAGGAAGAATTCTGTTCCACTTCCCCATGGAGATAAGAGGAAATAAACAAGAACTAGAAAGAAAATAGACGAAAACCCAGAGGGGGGTGTATATATATGCTTGTACATGTATGTGTAGTGTGACCTAAGTGTAAGTAGAAGTAGCAAGATGTACCTTAAATCTTGCATGTTTATGAGACAGAAAAAAGGACACCAGCAATCCTACCATCATGTAAAACAATTACAGGCTTTCGTTTTACACTCACTTGGCAGGACGGTAGTACCTCCCTGGGCAGTTGCTGTCTACCAACCTACTACCTAGGAACAGGAAAATATACACTTTTAAAAACTTATGTTATTATGCAAAAATCAAGATGGTATTGTTGGGTTGCAAAATTCCTTGTCTTTATATGTATTGTAAGAGTTCATTTCCTACTACAATTTTTCTCTTTACTTTCAGGTTGCATTCTGTAATACTAAGTATGGAAAGTATACTGTTTGGTTTATTTGTTATTGCTATCATGTGGGACCAAATGCAAGCCATACTTACAGATGAGACAGCTGTTGAACAGGTATGTAGGGATACATCTTTGTGTTCTGTTTTTTTTTTTTCCAAAGATTCTTAAAGTGGCCCATCAGGAATATTTTTGGTTGTTTTATACACTCTCCAACTCATCCTATTTTGCTCCATCCTCAACAACTCTTCCTCAGCCCTCTGAATAAATATAAATATAAAACATCTTATTTCTTTGTGTAGTTTACATGTAATAAAATATTGTTAAGCATGTTAATGAATGTGCATTCTGGGTTACTTTTAGTAACTCTGCACCTCCTAATCTCCAAATTACAAATTCTCTGCATAAGGTTTACATGACACATTGCCCTCAGACATGACATCTCCACTGCCTCCAGCCTCCTCCTTGCTTCAACATTCTCAACCCAAGCTTCACACCCGTATGAGAGTGTTGGAACCACTATACTCTCGACTCATGAAATTGTAGTGACAAAATTGCAAACAAACCATGCCACGGGTGGCGCTTGAACCCGCAATCAGAGAATTATAAAACTCCAGACTGATATATTATTCAGTGGGTAACGCATCGGTCTGGAGTTTTATGACTCTTTGACCGAGGGTTCAAGCCTCACCCATGGTATGGTTTCTTTCACTATACTCTCATACACTCCTCTCTTATTTATTTATGTATTTACTTATTTTTATTCAGTATTTTATTGCTTTCCATATTAATAAAACTATTTCTTTTTTTTTTTGTTTGAAGGTAAAGTGTCAAGGGCCATATCGTGCACGTCGACCTAAGATGGCTCTTCTTAGAGAAGTGTGTGGCCGCAGTCGTCCCATACTGTGGATATTTCCCTGTACCAGTGCTCCTGTGAATACTGAGGCTTCATATAATCTAACTGTTTAAAGACCTTAATTAAAATTGATAATTTATATTAAATTGTATATTTGAAGAAATAATATTAATTAAGATGAGATATAATTAATGTATATCAAAAGGTCATTGATGGCAGAATTAATGGTTCTCTAATGACTGTTGTTTTCACTGCCAAATGTAATGCCCTTTTAAAAATTTCACCTGAATGCTTAAGACAGTTTAGTGCCTAACCCAACTGGTTACACTGTATTTATCTGAAGAATAAGCTTTTCAGAATTTTGAAGTAGTCTGGCAGCTTCAAGATATAAAACAAGATATCTAATAGTTTTTATACAGTTTTGAAAATGAGATTAGAATTTTGAAAGATATATAATTATAATTTAAGATTGATGCATATGAGTGGTATATAGATAAATGTTGAACACTATACAGATAGCTTTTTTTACAAGAGTAGATATTAAACAGTAAGTCACATTGTATAATAGGTACTGCTACATCCTGCTATACCAAGTGTTAGAGGATTATGTGGCACAACAATTTGTAAAATAGCAGTCCTCTACATCACTGCTATCTGATATGCTATAAAACTATTATATCAGTGAAAATAAATTCTCACTATTTATTGATTCATTTATTTATATGATGTGTAGTTTAGTATCCTCACCTAGGTGGGATACCCAATGGGTCTCTGATTATTTTTTCCACTACTTTTGGTTTCTCGAGACTTCCTTCCGTACTTTGATTTTAATTTTTTACGTGTATCATTATAAACTGAAGGTTTTTATTTTAATTGGGCAATCTAGCTCCCTGGTGGATGATTTTAGATCCATTTTAGTTGTGATTAATGGGGTCTTTCTCTGAGTGCAACAGTGAATAAGTGCAGCTGCACAAAACTCACTATACAGATTCCCTGACCCTAGTGGATGTATTATATTTGTGTCATTTTTTTGTGTATATAGTACAGTGGGCCCCTGGTTTTCGGCCGGTGCAGAAATTGGCCAATTCGGAAATTGAGCACTTTTTTTTTTTTTGTCAAAATTTCTCCCTGGATTTTGTGCATCCACTCGGAAATCATTGGTACCAGATGCGTTCACATGGGCCGCTCATACATTTTGTGACTCACTCTTGGGCATATTAAATGTTTTATTTTAGGCTAATATAGACATTTTCATTAATCCGTCTATGATATTTTCTTCAAAATGATAAAAGAAACACATTACATAGCATATAAACATGCAATGTTTATTTGCTATTGAGCAGTGAGTCGGGCAGAGGGTAAACATTATGTTTTCTCTGGTCAAGCGCTAGAGAAAACTGTGAATCTGGCATCTGGCTCAGTCGCCGCCTTTAACACGTGTTTGTTTACAGTTCTCGGCATGAATTATTCATTACTTCTCCCTTTGTTTATGATGGCATCTAAAGGTAGTTGTTAGAAACGATTAAACTCAGTGAATATGGTTAGTCGATGGTAATATGGCTGTGTTCTGCATTTTAGGTAGCTGGTAGGTGTAGCCCAGAGGGACTACATATGTGTGCCTACATACTACTCGCCTCTCGCCCTACATTAACCCTTTGACTGTCGCGGTCGTATATATACGTCTTACGAGGTACCGTGTTTGACGTATATATACTCATAAATTCTAGCGGCTTCAAATCAAGCAGGAGAAAGCTGGTAGGCCCACATGCGAGGGAATGGGTCTCTGTGGTCAGTGTGCACCATATAAAAAAAATCCTGGAGCACGCAGTGCATAATGAGAAAAAAAAACTCCAACCGTTTTTTTTAATAAAATGCCGACTTTGTGGCCTATTTTCGTATAGTATTTATGGTTGTATTCTCGTTTTCTTGGTCTCATTTGATAGAATGGAAAACATATTATAGAAATAGAGGTGATTTTGATTGATTTTACTATAAAAAGAACCTAGAAATGGAGCTCAAAGTAGGGGAAATGTTTGATTTTTGCCAATGTTCAAAAGTAAACAAATGATGCCATTGTCCAATAAATGTCCAACTAGCCATTCTAATATGCAGTCATGAATGGATTGATGTTATTTATACAATTATTACAGTATTGCAGTAGTCTGCATAATAGTAAGTCTTCTATTTTTTGTTTGAATAAAAATTCAAAATAGAAAGCAAGAGTAATATCAGAGGGGCTTGGAGACATGACTGATGAGCAAAGAAAATGTTATTTTAGAGCCAGGAATGTCTGCATTGTTCATTCTGGACCTTATTTTGAAACTGCCATATTTTTTAGTTTTTGTGAAATTGGCCAAATTGCAAATTTCTGACCACATTATTAGGTAGTTGAAATCGGTAAATGGACAGTTTCTTGTACTCAATCGATAGAAAAAAATGGAGTTCTTAAGAAATAGCTATGAGTTTGGGCGACTGGAACAATGGAATTAGCCGAAAATAGGGCTCAAAGTGGGCAAAATCGCCGATTTGTAAACAGCGCCGAGGTCGCTAACTTCGCGAGAGCATAATTACGTCAGTTTTCCATCAAATTTCGGTTTTTTGGTGTCATTACAATCGGGAAAAGATTCTCTATCATTTCATAAGAAAAAATAATTTTTTTTTTTAACCCTTTCAGGGTCCAAGGCCCAAATCTGGAGTCACGCACCAGTGTCCAAGAATTTTCAAAAAAAAAATTTGTTATTTTTTCTTATGAAATCGTAGATAATCTTTTTGTGAAGGTAATAAAACAAAAAGTACGAAATTTGGTGGAAAATTGACGAAATTATGCTCTCGCGAATTTTGATGTGTCAGCGATATTTACGAATCGGCGATTTTGCCGACTTTGACTCCCATTTTAGGCCAATTACATTATTCCAATCAACCAAATTCTTAGCTATTTCACTGGTATTACTTCTATTCTATCGATTGAGCACAAGAAATCGCCAAGTCAACTGTTTCAACTACAAAATAAAGTGATCGGAAATTGTTAATTTGGCCAATTTAACACGAAGTTCAAAATATTCCAATTTCAAAATAGGGTCCAGAATGAACAATGTAGGCATTCCTGGCACTAAACTAACATTTCCTCTGTTCATTAGTTATGTTTTGAGGCTTTACAAATAAATTCCATTTTGATTTTTTATTCACATAATGAATTTTTATTCACACCAAAAAATAGAAGATTTACTGTTATGCAATACTGTAATAATTGTATAAATATCATCATCATATTTGTGAATGTATATTAGACCCACCAGCTGACGTGTATTAGATGTGTGAGGTCGTTTGTTTACTCTTGAATATCGGCAAAAATTTAACATTTCCGCTACTTTGAGCTCAGTTTCAAGCCATTTTCAGTGCTAAAACCAATCAAAATCATCTCTATTTCTGTAATATGTCTTCCATTCTATCAAATGAGACCAAGAAATCGCAAATACAACTATAAAAAACATACGAAAAAACACTGCAAAGTTGCTGTTTTAATCGAAAAATCATGATTTCATTTTTTTTCTCTCATTATACACAGTGTGCTGCAGGATCTGTTTTATGTGGTGCACACATACCACATAGATGTATTCTCTCATATCTAGGCCCAAATGTACCACTCACAGTTTATCAGAGTGAGCTGAGCTCATGGCGTAGATCTACGGTTTGGACCCTGAACGTAAAGCCGTAGATCTACGGGACAGACCCTGAAAGGGTTAATTTTGCGACACCAGGAGACACCTCAGGATTGGGGGTTGCGACAGTCAAAGGGTTAAGACTGCAAATATTTTAAGGTAAGTAATGAATGTACTAACCACTGAAAAGCTGAAACACTAGTTATTCTCTCTAAAATTTATTTTTTGTTAATATTTTTGGGTGTCTGAAACGGATTAATTGGATTTACATTATTTCTTATGGGAAATATTACTTCGGTTTTCAGCCATTTTGGATTTAGGCCAACCTTCTGAAACGGATTAATTGGATTTACATTATTTCTTATGGGAAATATTACTTCGGTTTTCAGCCATTTTGGATTTAGGCCAACCTTCTGGAACGGATTAATTACGAAAACCAGGGGTCTAATGTGTATCCAATCAAGCTGCAGTGTCTGGTGTATAATTCATGAAAAAATTATTTTTATTTTTTTTGTGGGTTAGTGAGTTTGTTAGTGTGTTTGAGTGTTTGTTAGCATGTTTGTGAGTTAGTGTGTGGGTGTGTTTGTGTGTGTTTGTACTCACCTATGTATGGGTGCAGGGGCCAAGTTATAGCTCCTGGCCCTTTCTTTCTCTTGTCTTACTTCTGTTATCTTATTGTAGAACTCAGGTAGATTTGTGACACAGGATTTCCCATCTCTGAAGCTGTGCTGACTGTCACATATGACCCCAATCTTTTCATTGTGTTCCACCACTTTTCTCCTGATAATCTTTTCCATGACTTTACATACTATACAAGTCAGTAACACTGGTCTGTAGTCTAATGCTGCCTGTCTGTATCCTTTCTTAAAAATTGGAAGTACATTTGCTGTCTTCCATGCCTCAGGCAACTGCCCAGTTTTGATAGATTTACTGAAGATTGCCACTAACGGCACACACAGTTTCCCTGCTCCCTCTCTCAGTATCCATAGAGATATGTTATCTGGTCCCACCACCTTTGAGGTATCTAGTTCACTTCGCAGTTTCTTCACCTCTACCTTGGTTATGTGTACTATGTCCAGCACCTGCTGGTGCACCCTACCTCCACAGTTTACTGGAAGCATTCCTGTCTCTATTGTGAATACTTCTCTAAATCTTCTGTTTAGTTATTCACATACTTCCTGATTACTCGTGTGAGCTTCCCTCCTTCTTTCCTCAGCCTGATTACCTGGTCCCTGACTGTTGTTTTTCTCCTAATGTGACTGTATAACAGCTTTGGTTCAGATTTGGCTTTTGATGCTATGTTGTTTTCGTATTGCCTCTGGGCGCCTCTCCTTATCCCTGCATATTCGTTTCTGGTTCTTCTGCTCAACTCCTTGTTTTCTTGAGTCCTTTGCCTTCTATATACCTTTTCCTTGCTCTAGCACACTTGGGTTTGGCCTCTTTATATCTCCAATTAAACCTTGGGCTCACTATGGTATTCCCATTTTTTTCTGTTACCCTTTGGTATGGCCTTCTCCTATGCCTCCTGGCATTTAGTAGTCACTAGTTCCATCATTTCATTTACTGTCTTTCCCTCTAGTTCTCTTTCCCACTTCACTTCATGAAGGAAATTTCTCATTCCTATGTAGTCCCCTTTTTTGAAGTTCGGCTTCTCTCGTTGTTCTCATGCTGCTGCATTCTCCACTATTAACTCTATGAGGTATTCAAAATTCAGGACATCATGATGACTAGCGCCAAGGAGTCTTTTGTCCAGCCTTGATGTCTAGCCTTGCTGCAACATCCTCTCCTCTCTCTTTGGTTGTATCCCTAACATGTTGGTGCATGAAGTTCTCCAATACAGTCTCCAACATCTTAGCCCTCCATGTTTCTGGTCCCCCATGTGGCTCTAGGTTTTCCCAGTCAATCTCTTCATGATTGAAATCCCCCATTATAAGTAATTTTGTCCTACCCATATGAGCCCTCCTGTCCACTTCAGCTAGTGTATCCACCATTGCCCTATTGCTCACATCATACTCTTGTCTTTTCCTCTTGCTGTTCAATGGTGGGTTATGCATCACTGCTATCATCACCTTTGGACCCCCCAGTCTGAAGTGTTCCTACAATGAAGTCGTCTGTTTCTATTCTGTCCATTTCTCCCATTTCCTCAAAACTCCACTGGTTTTTGATGAGCAGTGCTACTCCTGTTTGTTTGTGTACTCACCTAGTTGTACTCACCTAGTTGAGGTTGCGGGGGTCGAGTCCGAGCTCCTGGCCCCGCCTCTTCACTGATCGCTACTAGGTCACTCTCCCTGAGCCGTGAGCTTTATCATACCTCTGCTTAAAGCTATGTATGGATCCTGCCTCCACTACATCGCTTCCCAAACTATTCCACTTACTGACTACTCTGTGGCTGAAGAAATACTTCCTAACATCCCTGTGATTCATCTGTGTCTTCAGCTTCCAACTGTGTCCCCTTGTTACTGTGTCCAATCTCTGGAACATCCTGTCTTTGTCCACCTTGTCAATTCCTCTCAGTATTTTGTATGTCGTTATCATGTCCCCCCTATCTCTCCTGTCCTCCAGTGTCGTCAGGTTGATTTCCCTTAACCTCTCCTCGTAGGACATACCTCTTAGCTCTGGGACTAGTCTTGTTGCAAACCTTTGCACTTTCTCTAGTTTCTTCACGTGCTTGGCTAGGTGTGGGTTCCAAACTGGTGCCGCATACTCCAATATGGGCCTAACGTACACGGTGTACAGGGTCCTGAATGATTCCCTATTAAGATGTCGGAATGCTGTTCTGAGGTTTGCCAGGCGCCCATATGCTGCCCATATGTGTGTGTGTGTGTGTGTACTCACCTATTTGTGGTTGCAGGGGTCGAGTTCTAGCTGTGTGTGTGTGTGTGTGTGTGTGTGTGTGTACTCACCTAGTTGTGGTTGCAAGGGTCTAGTCACAGCTCCTGGCCCCGCCTCTTCACTGGTCGCTACTAGGTCATCTTCCTGCTCCATGAGCTTTATCGTACCTCTTAAAGCTATGTATGGATCCTGCCTCCACTACATCACTTCCCAGACTATTCCACTTTCTGACAACTCTGTGACTGAAGAAATACTTCCTAACATCCCTGTGATTCATCTGAGTCTTCAACTTCCAACTGTGACAACTTGTTGCTGTGTCCCATCTCTGGAACATCCTGTCTCTGTCCACCTTGTCGATCCCTCTCAGTATTTTATGTCGTTATCATATCCCCCCTATCTCTCCTGTCCTCCAGTGTCGTCAGGCTGATTTCCCTTACCCTCACCTTGTAGGACATACCCCTTAGCTACGGGACTAGTCTTGTTGCAAACCTTTGCACTTTCTCTAGTTTCCTTACGTGCTTGGCTAGGTGTGGGTTCCAAATTGGTGCTGCATACTCCAATATGGGCCTAACGTATACAATGTACAGGGTTCTGAACGATTCCTTATTAAGATGTTGGAATGCTGTTCTTAGGTTTGCTAGGCGCCCATATGCGGCAGCATTTATTTGGTTGATGTGTGCCTCAGGAGATGTGCCCAGTGTTATACTCACCCCAAGATCGTTTTCCTTGGGTGAGAGTTGTAGTCTCTTGCCCCCTAGACTGTACTCCGTCTGCAGTCTTCTTTGCCCTTTCCCAGCCTTCATGACTTTGCACTTGGTGGGGCTGAACTCCAAGAGCCAGTTGCTGGGCCAGGCCTGCAGCCTGTCGAGATCCTTTTGTAGTTCTGCCTGGTCCTCATCTGATTGAATTCTTCTCATCAACTTCACATCTGCAAACAGGAACACTTTAGAGACTATTCCTTCCGACATGTCGTTCACAAATACTGTACCAGAAACAGCACCGGTCCTAGGACTGACCCCTGTGGAATCCCACTCATTACAGGCGCCCACTCTGACACCTCGCCACGCACCATGACTCGCTGTTGTCTTCCTGACAGGTATTCCCTGATCTATTGTAGTACCTTCCCTGTTATCCCTGCCTGGTCCTCCAGCTTTTGCACTAATCTCTTGTGCGGAACTGTGTCAAACGCCGCCTTACAGTCCAAGAAAATGCAACCTACTCCTCCCTCTCTCTTGTCTTACTGCTGTCCCCCTGTCATAGAGCTCCAGTAGGTTTGTGACACAGGATTTCCTGCCTGCTTGTCTGTGTGAGAGTGATTGTATGTGTGTGTTTGTGAGTGAGTGAGCTATACAGTATATCTTGTGTGGGGTCTTAGGTGGCTCACTTGGAATATGCTAGACCTCAGTGACAACAATGGTCATGTCTTGAGTCCCAGTAAGGTCCATTGCACAATTTTTGACCAGTAATATGCCTCCTTTGCCTCTAATTACATCTTGACAGTGGTTTTGTTTTTGTGGCCAGCAAGATCTGAGAGCCTTAAATAGTGTATACACTATTTAAGGAAAATGATCTTGGGTGAGTATAACACTGGGCACATCTGAGGCACACATCAACCAAATAAATGCTGCCGCATATGGGCGCCTAGCAAACCTAAGAACAGCATTCCAACATCTTAATAAGGAATCGTTCAGAACCCTGTACATTTATGGATTCTTCCTTGGCTGGCATTTGTGGTTTCTAGTGCACTCTGTAGGATTTGTGGTAGTCCTTATTGCTCTTCTAGGGTCCCAACCAATGATAGCAGTTTACTTTGTTTGGCCAGCAGGGTTTGTGATAGATATGAGTCCTGGAGATGGGAAGTACAGTGCCTGCAGAAGGAGGGGGTGTTAATGTTGCAGTTTAAAAACTGTAGTGTAAAGCACCCTTCTGGCAAGACAGTGGAGTGAATGATGGTGAAAGTTTTTCTTTTTCGGGCCACCCTGCCTTGGTGGGAATCGGCCAGTGTGATAATAAAAAAATAATGTGACTTTCCTGCTCTCCATGGGGCCAGATCAGCCTATTCAGGAGTATGCACTTCTACAAGTGCTTCATGCCAGATGAATCCTCATTTGTTAACAGTGTAGTGCCAGAGAATGCCCCATCTAGTATTGTGAGCCTGATATGGTTGTTTTGTCAGTGAGTGCAGGACGATAAAGGGTGTAAGGGGCCTCGGCTTTCTTAGCATATAGGGATCCCTTTGTGCCTCCTACCTCTCATTCAGGACCTGAGGGTCCATGTGAGATCTCTTTGGTCTCTGGAGTCTTCTGGAACCACATCTTGATCACTAATTTGTTTTGCAGTAGCTGCAACTGTTGTTTGATGTCATGCACTGCTATGTTTGCTGGCCCCATCCTTTTTCTGGCACTCCTGGATTGTAGTGCCTTAGTGCTTGCTGCAGAGGGCCTGACCACTACAATACTGGAAGTCCCATTCATGCCTCTCGATTTCCAGTTTTTGGGTTGGCATTGCCAC